TTTGTTTTTGTGTTGTGAAGCAAGTTCTTTGTCGATGCCCTTCTGCCAGAAGCGAGCTTTTGGAGAATCCATAGCTTGCTTGTACGAGTTTGGGATTTCCGTTATCACATGGGCGTGGCTAAGGAGTCCAGCAGTCACCAAAGCTGCTGCCCACCACGCCCCAGGCGTTTTGCGAACGCGAGTGGACCGACGGAGATTAGTTGGCGGATCAATAGTTTCTTCCTCAACTACGTGTTGCTCAACTGTTTCGGTGGTTTCGTCCTCCTCTGGAGTTGGGGAGGAGTTGGATGATTCATCAGAGTCTTGTTGTTCATCCCGCGATGATGCTTCTGATGCCACTGCATCATTTTCTGCAACTTCCTCATCGATGTTCAAGTTGATTGTGTCATCATCAGTTGAAGCCTCCTCGTTTGTATCCATCGGTTCACCAGATTTGCCTCCCGTGGACTCGTCAAAAGTAACATCTCTGGATACGATCACTTTGTGCAAATCACCATCCCACAACTTGTAAGCTTTCGTATTTTCAGCATACCCTAGAAACATTGCCTCCTTTGCACGGGCGTCAAGTTTCTGGATGTTGTGTTTTGGTAATGTATACCAACACTTTGAACCGAAGACACGCAAATGACCAACATTTGGCACAGATTTCATCCATAAGTGGTATGGGGTCATCTTGGGGGGAATAGCACGTGACGTGACTCGATTTCGAACGTACACTGCATTGGCAAGTGCTTCTGCCCAGAACCCCTTTGTAACTTTCTTGTGGGCTAGCATGGAGCGCACCAAGTTTACCAAAGTTCTGTTCAGTCGTTCGGCGACGCCATTTTGCTCCGGTGTGTACGCGGTCGTCATTTGATGCTGAGTACCATTTGCAATCAGAAAAGACTTAAACTCCGTGGACAGATACTCACCACCTCGATCGGTGCGAAGCACTTTGATCTTGCGACCAGTGTGAGTCTGAGCAAGTTGTGCAAACATTTTGTATCGGTCAAATGCTTCTGATTTATGGAGCATAGGGTACACTACTGACCAGTTTGAGTGATCATCTATGAAGGTAATGAAGTACTTGGCACCACCAATGGACTGCACCTCTAAGGGGCCACAAACATCAGAGTGAACTAAGTCTAGACAGAAGTATGCCCGCCTCGAGGACCGCTCTTTTGGGATCACAGATCGAGTGGCTTTGCCGTAGACGCACGCCGAACATTTTTCAGAGATGCAATCATTGTCAGTATTGTTGATTTTGTTAGCCTCATTACCAAGTAGTTTGACTCCACTTACCACATTGTCACGAATCATCGAAGCAATACCTTGAGAATGCACATGTGCAAAGCGCTCATGCCACGTTTGCAGGGTGGCAGCATGTGCAGATCCGATGTCACTGACGATGTCGAGAACGTAAAGTTCTCCAACCAATGTCGCAGTCGCCACTACAGTTGAGCCTCGTCTGATCATGCATGTTCCATTTTCGAACCCAACTTTTAGTCCAACTTCAGTCATTCGACTGACAGAGAGCAGAGAGAACGCAAAGTCCGGAACGTGCAATACATCCGTCAACTTGCACGGTTCGATGCGGCCATTCACATTTAACTTCAAGTGAACATCACCACGGCCGGCAACCTTTGCACTAGCCTTGGTTCCCATCTGAACAGAGGCGGATTCAAGTGGCTCATACGTCGCAAACAAAGATCGGTCATATGTAATATGAGCTGTACAAGCTGAATCTACGAGCCACGAAGGCAACATCTCCATATCGTTCGTGTGCGAAGCTTTCGACATCAGACATGTGAAGTCGACGCTGTTTACAACCATGTCGGGATCAGGTTTCTGTGTGACAAATGCAGATTGTTTCCGCTGAGACATACGCGGTTTATATCCGCTAGGAGGAGCCGGGCGACGCCCATTCAAATCCTTTCCCCAGCAGCGGGTTGCCGTATGGCCTGTACGACCGCAGTTCGTGCATTTGTAATCGTTTATGTCCCGATTGTTCGGGGCACGATTAACCAGAGCCGATGTCTGTGAGGAGCTAGACTTCATGTTTGCTCGTTGCTCTTCCTGCAGCAGACGACTTTTCACAAAGTCCAAACTGAATATCTTTTCCTCATTACCGAGAGCATCAAGTGCAACGATGAGAGCCTCGAAACGGGCAGGCAGACCGTTGAGCACTGCCATGGCCATCTCCTTGTCATCGATGTTTACGCTCATTGACTTGAGGATGGCTGCCAGCTGCTTGACACGATTGATGTATGCAAGCACCTTTTCACCGGAAAGCATCTTCACAGTGTAGAACTCACGACGTGCAGCTAGTTTGTTCAGCAAAGTGTGCCTCTCAAACACGTTGACAATAGCTTCCCACATCTCATGAGCAGTATCAACATCACGTACATGCTCAAGATGCTCATCTGATAGGGAGAGACCAATCAGTGCTTTAGCTTTACTGTCACCTCTGATCCACTTCTTACGCTCTTCCGCGCGTTCCTCACTTGGAACTCTTCCCTCAACGATGTATTGGTCAACATCACGTAGAGCAAGCAGAAGTTGTATTTTCTGCTTCCACACGTAGAAGTTGGAGTCCGTCAGTTTGTCAATTCTGATGGATCCTCCTCCTCCTTGATCTTCCATTTTAGTGCAAATAAACTTCAAGTATTTGAAAATCCGTTCGGGGATCCCAAGCCGTTAACCGATAGTCAACACAATGGCAAGCCCACCCGTCTAAGAAGTTCGATATGATTACTATGAAGTTGCACTAGGAGAAATTTGCGAACAGATATGTGAATTTATTTGGAAGAAATCCCTAACTATTCTGTTCACAAACTACCTTTAAGTGTGCGGCACCGTTCTCGTGGCACTTCAGGTGCCCGTGAGACTCAAAGACGCGATTGCAAGGGATACTACGCGGAGTCTCCTTAGCGTTGGCAACTTGAATGCGATGAGACCTAGACTGAATGTGGTCGTAAAAGGCCTTCGCACTATTGCCACTAACGCCGCACACTTTACAATACCGCTTATACCGCGGGCACACCTTACGATTCCTCTTGCGCTCACGCTTAAACTCTTTATCCGCGAGAACAGCAGCTTTCCGAGCAGAAAGTCGATGCGTAGTTCTCTTTATTGGTGCGGGAACAGAGCGCGGAATACGAGGAATCCTATATGGTGCGCAACTCGAGGACGGACCCGGAAGCGCGAGCCGAGGTGAAGGTTGATCCTCAGGCTCAAGCACCTCAACGGATACGACCTCCGATGTCCGAACCGTTCGACAGGTGACCAGCTTCCCAGGCGCAGAGCGCACCGGTACTAATTCCAGATCTAACACAACCCCGTAAAAACAGGTATTCACAATAAGGAATATGAAGATAATCGTCAGTAACAGATTTTGGAATTATTGCTCTTAAGAACCACTAAAACGTGCAAAGACAATCACTTAGATGTGTAGGAAATGGAAAGAAACTCAAAACTTACTTTGCATGAGAGAACGAAGAAAAACCAAATGCGAGATTGACGACGACGGCGGTAGCGGGAGCGGAAACGAAGACGAAGACCAAAGACAGAGACAGCAGCAAGAACCACAGCAAGAACGAAAGCCAAACCAAGGACGAAGACAACGAAGACAGCAGGGGCGATGACCAAAACCAATTCACACAAGAGAGCAAGAACGACAGCAGCAGCGAAAACCAAAACCAAGAACGACGGCAAGAACGAGAGCGACAACGACAGCGAGAACACCAGCGGAAAGAACGACCAGAAACGGCAGCGAAAACGACAGCGACAACTAATGGTAGGTTCGGAGGGGCAAGGGAAAGAAGGAAGGCAGGTTGATGTGTGTGAGTGAAGGAGTTGGTGCCGAGGTTTACTTTGAAGCCGTTTTCCTGCGATACTTATACACTTCGAGTGCTACACTATCGCTCTACTCCGACTCCCAGTAAACCATACTCTACTATGCGCGACCAAGCGCGGTCCTCTTGTGGCCCGACCATACTGTTCGATTTCCACCTTACGAATCGATTCGTAACTATTAGCTCACAACTATTTCTACACATTCCAAATGACTGTAAACCATGGCCCTATGCATGCAACTGTTTCACACCTTACTAATCTGCATCCAGTCATGCCAGACTTCATTGTTGTGCAACGAACAACTTGGCCCTTGTCTATTTCCAACAACGCAAACGTCTTTCATATCACAATCGCCATACGTATCCTTGTTTCTCACCTTACTAATTTCGCCAAGCACTGTCAGATAATTATGGCAAGTTATAACAATGTGCATCCAGACTTTCTACACAACTCATATGAGAATACATGTAAATCACACGAGTACTCTCATGAACTTGCATCCAACGGCGCACCATGACGAGAGCACAGTGCAACGGCGCGTGCTCACGCAAGACTCGCATACAGCGTGACGCGTACACAGAATAATCGCACAACTGTATTCCTCTCGCGAGAAGTACTTGTTGTACTTTTGATTCACATGTACTGTACTCGGACACGCGCAGGATCGCAAACAGTCTGACACTGTAAAACTGTAAACCCTCATGTGCATACACCTGGATGCGTGTACATGTGTACGTACACGAATCCACCTGGCGACGTGTACATGTGTACACGGCATACATGTGTCCCGCCCGGGGGCCCAATGCAATTACCCATTACAACCATGGCAAACCACTTGAAACCCCCAAAACAACGTAATTATGGCATATACAGGCCATTTAAAGTACATCACAAGGCCAATGACGCACATGTGGACAACGCTCGACCAATAGATTTGCAGCATTAGACCTGAGGGCCAATAGAATTGCAATATTTCCTGTGTAGTCTATAGTGCTACGGGCCAAGGTTCCACTTGGCAAAACTATGCAAATTTGCATGACCCTCCGAGAGGCCACTTTCGTCCCCGGAACCCCAAAATCTGGGATTTTACACGTGTCATGTCGTGATATGAGTAAGAGCGCCCGGACCGTGCAGTCATGTACACGTGTCACTCGATTTTGACCTTTTCAGATAACAGCATGTGGTCGCACATTTTCAATAGCCACTGCATCATTTTCTGCAACTTCCTCATCGATGTTCAAGTTGATTGTGTCATCATCAGTTGAAGCCTCCTCGTTTGTATCCATCGGTTCACCAGATTTGCCTCCCGTGGACTCGTCAAAAGTAACATCTCTGGATACGATCACTTTGTGCAAATCACCATCCCACAACTTGTAAGCTTTCGTATTTTCAGCATACCCTAGAAACATTGCCTCCTTTGCACGGGCGTCAAGTTTCTGGATGTTGTGTTTTGGTAATGTATACCAACACTTTGAACCGAAAACACGCAAATGACCAACATTTGGCACAGATTTCATCCATAAGTGGTATGGGGTCATCTTGGGGGGAATAGCACGTGACGTGACTCGATTTCGAACGTACACTGCATTGGCAAGTGCTTCTGCCCAGAACCCCTTTGTAACTTTCTTGTGGGCTAACATGGAGCGCACCAAGTTTACCAAAGTTCTGTTCAGTCGTTCGGCGACGCCATTTTGCTCCGGTGTGTACGCGGTCGTCATTTGATGCTGAGTACCATTTGCAATCAGAAAAGACTTAAACTCCGTGGACAGATACTCACCACCTCGATCGGTGCGAAGCACTTTGATCTTGCGACCAGTGTGAGTCTGAGCAAGTTGTGCAAACATTTTGTATCGTTCAAATGCTTCTGATTTATGGTGCATAGGGTACACTACTGACCAGTTTGAGTGATCATCTATGAAGGTAATGAAGTACTTGGCACCACCAATGGACTGCACCTCTAAGGGGCCACAAACATCAGAGTGAACTAAGTCTAGAGAGAAGTATGCCCGCCTCGAGGACCGCTCTTTTGGGATCACAGATCGAGTGGCTTTGCCGTAGACGCACGCAGAACATTTTTCAGAGATGCAATCATTGTCAGTATTGTTGATTTTGTTAGCCTCATTACCAAGTAGTTTGACTCCACTTACCACATTGTCACGAATCATCGAAGCAATACCTTGAGAATGCACATGTGCAAAGCGCTCATGCCACGTTTGCAGGGTGGCAGCATGTGCAGATCCGATGTCACTGACGATGTCGAGAACGTAAAGTTCTCCAACCAATGTCGCAGTCGCCACTATAGTTGAGCCTCGTCTGATCATGCATTTTCCATTTTCGAACCCAACTTTTAGTCCAACTTCAGTCATTCGACTGACAGAGAGCAGAGAGAACGCAAAGTCCGGAACGTGCAATACATCCGTCAACTTGCACGGTTCGATGCGGCCATTCACATTTAACTTCAAGTGAACATCACCACGGCCGGCAACCTTTGCACTAGCCTTGGTTCCCATCTGAACAGAGGCGGATTCAAGTGGCTCATACGTCGCAAACAAAGATCGGTCATATGTAATATGAGCTGTACAAGCTGAATCTACGAGCCACGAAGGCAACATCTCCATATCGTTCGTGTGCGAAGCTTTCGACATCAGACATGTGAAGTCGACGCTGTTTACAACCATGTCGGGATCAGGTTTCTGTGTGACAAATGCAGATTGTTTCCGCTGAGACATACGCGGTTTATATCCGCTAGGAGGAGCCGGGCGACGCCCATTCAAATCCTTTCCCCAGCAGCGGGTTGCCGTATGGCCTGTACGACCGCAGTTCGTGCATTTGTAATCGTTTATGTCCCGATTGTTCGGGGCACGATTAACCAGAGCCGATGTCTGTGAGGAGCTAGACTTCATGTTTGCTCGTTGCTCTTCCTGCAGCAGACGACTTTTCACAAAGTCCAAACTGAATATCTTTTCCTCATTACCGAGAGCATCAAGTGCAACGATGAGAGCCTCGAAACGGGCAGGCAGACCGTTGAGCACTGCCATGGCCATCTCCTTGTCATCGATGTTTACGCTCATTGACTTGAGGATGGCTGCCAGCTGCTTGACACGATTGATGTATGCAAGCACCTTTTCACCGGAAAGCATCTTCACAGTGTAGAACTCACGACGTGCAGCTAGTTTGTTCAGCAAAGTGTGCCTCTCAAACACGTTGACAATAGCTTCCCACATCTCATGAGCAGTATCAACATCACGTACATGCTCAAGATGCTCATCTGATAGGGAGAGACCAATCAGTGCTTTAGCTTTACTGTCACCTCTGATCCACTTCTTACGCTCTTTCGCGCGTTCCTCACTTGGAACTCTTCCCTCAACGATGTATTGGTCAACATCACGTAGAGCAAGCAGAAGTTGTATTTTCTGCTTCCACACGTAGAAGTTGGAGTCCGTCAGTTTGTCAATTCTGATGGATCCTCCTCCTCCTTGATCTTCCATTTTAGTGCAAATAAACTTCAAGTATTTGAAAATCCGTTCGGGGATCCCAAGCCGTTAACCGATAGTCAACACAATGGCAAGCCCACCCGTCTAAGAAGTTCGATATGATTACTATGAAGTTGCACTAGGAGAAATTTGCGAACAGATATGTGAATTTATTTGGAAGAAATCCCTAACTATTCTGTTCACAAACTACCTTTAAGTGTGCGGCACCGTTCTCGTGGCACTTCAGGTGCCCGTGAGACTCAAAGACGCGATTGCAAGGGATACTACGCGGAGTCTCCTTAGCGTTGGCAACTTGAATGCGATGAGACCTAGACTGAATGTGGTCGTAAAAGGCCTTCGCACTATTGCCACTAACGCCGCACACTTTACAATACCGCTTATACCGC